TGTGTGTTTGGTGGGATTGGCAGGGAATCATCCACTATGAGCTGCTCCCCTACGGCCAAACTCTTAATTCGGACCTGTACTGTCAACAATTGGACCGTCTGAAGGAATCAATCCCCCAGAAGCGGCCAGCTTTGGCTAATAGGAAAGGAATTGTGTTCCATCAGGACAACGCCAGGACACACACATCGATAGTGATTCGCCAGAAGCTCCGGGAGCTTGGTTGGGAGGTTCTTATGCATCCACCTTATAGTCCGGACCTGGCACCAAGTGATTACCACCTGTTCCTGTTTATGGCGAATGATTTTGCTGGTGAAAAATTCGCTTCAAGAGAAGCTTGTGAAAATCGACTGTCCCAGTTTTTTGCCAATAGGGACAAGGGTTTCTATGAGAGAGGCATAATGGAATTACCTTCAAAATGGCAACAAGTTATCGAACAAAACGGTGCATATTTGACCGAAATCGGATCATTCTAACTATGCTAAATAAAGTCTTCAATTTCATGCAAAAATAATGGATTTCTTTTTACTACGTCTTATATATGTACAATCAAGCAAAATCACTAGCTGTGAGATATACTAAGAAAGGTAAGAAGAGAAAAAATTTGTTTATATGTAAATAGAAGAATTAGAAAACATTATTTATTAAAAGAATGTTTTTTGCAGATACTTCTTCCATCACGAAGGTAAAGCATCTACGTCAAAATATCTAAATACAAATACCAAATACCAAAATTTAAATATGATATTGTGACGTGGCAGCCGTGGAGGCGCCCGTCTCAAGAATCCCGTACCGATTTAGCGAGAATGTTTTTCGCGTGTCGTGTCGCTAACGGTTTTTCGAGACCTGGCCGAATATCGCGTTCCGTCGAATGTTTATTGTGAAAATCTAGAACAAAGCGAGGAAGCGATTTTTGCGAGCGGAGCAGATGCGAAGGTCAGCGCGTCCCGAATTTTGTGCCCCTCGACGTCCCTTGCCGGCCACCAGGACGAGGAGAGGAGGACACCGAGGAGCGAGGATGCAGCGGACGACAACTAGCGAAGCCCTTACTAAGGTGAATCGCACTCTCGTACTTTGGTGGTTAAAATATATTATCGCGAATTATCGTGCGCTCAGCAATAGCGAATATTCTATCGCTGAGAAGCTATCGTAGTTATAACACAGTATCGCGCTTAGACGGATCAGCTGTGTTTACTTTTAGCGAAACAGCCGTCGTGAGGAACCCGGCAGAAAAAAACGGGAGAGCCGAGAGAGACAACAGGCGAACTCCCGATGTCAACAGTGTCTCGAGACGAAAAGTGTCTCGAGACAAGATTACCGAAATCTGCCGATTCTCGACGACCGATCACCACAGGACGAGGGGGGCAGCGACGAGGGAGGATCCGCGAGGATACGCGATCCTCCCAGGAAGAATCAGCTGGCAGCCTAACCGCGACCATTGCCGCGCGCAGACGAACGAATTGCGAGAGTACCGTACCGCCAGCGAGTGAGAGAGAGAGAGAGAGGAGAGAGAGAAAGGAGAGAGAGATAGGAGAGAGAGAGAGAGAGAGCGAGAGAGAGAGAGAGAGAGAGGGAGAGTGTAGTGAGAACGAGAGTGAGGGAACGAGGCGACGGGAGAGCGAGGAGAGAGAGAGAGAGCGAAGGGCGAGAGAGGACGAGAAAGCAGGGAGAGAGAGAGGATCGCCGCCGCCGCCGTCAACGCCGCCACCGCCGACGCAAGGGCCGTTGCCGAAAATTGTAAGATTGACCATCTGCTCCAAATATATTTGTGTCGCGTATCGTCCCGTATCGTGCCGTATCTCGTCCGCGGAGTGGTCGCGCGAGTAGAAAAGGCTCGCCCGAGGGAAACGCCCTCGGGCTTCGTGTAACGTTTCGCGAACTGTACCGTCTCGAGAGGAGCGTTGTCGTGACGACCTCCTCTCGTATACCGACTATCGGGACGTGCGAGAGTCCCCGAATAAACGTTTCATCATTATCAATATCGAGTCCAGTGATTTCGCCTTCTCCTAACACATCCCGTCTCCGACTTTAATTTAATAAGAGCTACCGGTCCCGACGGTTCCGGGACGCGCGCTTTTTCAGTAATAATTATTGACTCTCGCGTTTATCGAGGTGGTGCGGCCTTCCCGCATCTGGCGCCCAACTACCGCGGATAGTGGCGTGTCCGGGAACCGACGGCAATTTGTCGACGCGGCTAACAGGCGACTGTTTGCCGTCGCTCGCGAAATTCCGTTCGCGAGTAGCGTCGCAGTACATACACAAATATGCCTGTGATGATCGGAGAGTTTGTGTGAGAGAGGGCAGAATGACGTGTACGTTTACTGTGGTTTATTTAAATTTATATTTTTTAACTCTTAATTGATCGATATATTAAACATTTTAATAATTAAAAGACTCATAAATTTTTATGTTTCATAATAAAAAAATTGATGAGTAAAACATTATATAAAGTAATCATTTTGATTTTGATTATTTTCCGATCCTTACATATTCTATATACATATACTTATATATTTTATTCAAGCTGTTTTTTTATTTTAATCATTACTGTTTTTGCTACTTATACTACACTCTATATATAGCAAAAACAATAATGATCAAAATAAAAAAACAGATGGAATAAGATATCCTATATTCAAATCGACGGCAATTTTAATTCCTCAAAGGCGGGGTATGTTTTATAGAGGCGCTGGAAACACTGCTAACGCGAGAACAATAGGAGTTGATTGGCCCTGAAGGAACCTATATAAGAAGATTGGATCACAGGAAATTTAACTTGGTTAATGGACTTTGTTCCACAACTATTACAATAACAACTTCGCCGACCGCGGCCAGCCATATGTCCCGCTTGTCTTGTCACACGCTCTGATTTTCCCAACTATTTTAATTAATATCTCGAAATTTTATGTGGTTGTTTGAAAAATGACATCTACAATTTTTCACAATTTTTTTCACTTTTATCTGTTCTACTTATATTTTTCTCTTGGCATATCTTATGCGGGACACCCTGTATACAGGGTGTCTCAGAACAATCTACGAAGCTCTCATGAGAACGTAGAGCTGGTTAAAATAAATATAAAAGTCCGTTTTGCGATGTTCGTAATAATAACCGAGAAAATAATTACGAAAGATTAATGAAAAGCGAGTGCTGAACGGTAGAGGACTGTTCGAGTCACAGCGTAGCCCAATAATATAGCGTGCGGATGTCGACGCGAGGCGATTGGAAGACAACGCACCACTGCCTATATTTATACTGCTGCGTTCCTATGTCTTACCGCACCGTACCGAGGCAAGATGTAGGAGCACAGTGATACAAGTATAGGCAGTGGTACATTGTCTTCCAATCGCCACGCGCGACATCCGCGCGCTATATTACTGGGCTGCGCTGTGACTCGAGGGAGCGTCCCAGATGCGCACATTGACAAACGGACACAGTCAACCACAACGCTATATGATTAGAGATATTCTAGAGACTCTATAAACAATGACATATGATTGGATGTATCCGTTTGCGCAATGTGCGCATCTAGGACTCACTCTGACTCGAGCGGTCCGTCCTCTACCATTCAGTACACGATTTTCCTTAATCTTTCGTAATTAATTTCTTGGTTATTATTACGAATATCGCAAAACAGTATAGGACTTTTATGTTTATTTTAACCCATTCTACGTTCTCACAAGAGCTTCGTAGATTGTTTTGAGAGGTATAAAAGAA